AATAAACTATCATGATATACTATTAGTTCTAGTATCTTTCTTTATCTATGTCTCATCATTAAAACATTTACTCATGAAAATCAACTCAATATACATCTTTGTAATAGAAAAGAAATCTTAGTGTTTAAATTAAATTTGTTTAAAACAAATCAAATGTATTATATTCTTAATTGATTATACTGAAATACCACAAATTGATGAAATAAAACAAATATATCAGAGTTAGAAAGTAGTTAATATCAAATTAGATTCTAAGTAATATATGATAATATACACTTTATTTTTCATTAATTTACTTTTATTAATTTATTCATAGATTATTATTTTGTTAATAAGATATGTAATAAATATTTGAAGATATCTACAACAAGTATTGTAAATAAACAAGTGTTGTAATACAAAAATAATTAAATAAATAACAACTTTATTTATTATTTTGATTTAAATACAATATAAACAAAAATATTTCATCAATTAAATAAAATGATTATCGTATTATCATCAAAATGAAATAACTCTATTCATTTATTTATTTGTATCTTTAATATCTTAAATAATAATCTAAATATCATTTTTATTTTATTCATTCTTCTTTTGAATTTAATATTTCATTAGAATATTAGTGTTGTTCATTTTTAAACATTTATTAAATCATTTTATTCTTTATAAACATTTTATATTCTATTTCATTTAAATATTAACTTGATTTGTAATGTTTCATAATGATTAATAAAATATTCATTTAACAATTTAATCAAAAAATATAATCTCTTTGATAATTAACTCCATTCTTTCATTGTTTCACTTTAAATTACTTTATTATTCTTTTTACTTATTGTTTAATTAAAATATATTCAATAAACATGATTTGATTATTAAATTGTTTGTGTTTAAATTTATTTAATGTATAATTCATTCAATAATTCTCTCATCACCATTTGTTAATATCTGTTTATATTTTTCTTTAAATGAATTGAAGATACAATTTCTTGAATTTCTTCTTTTTCTGTAATGAAAGAACAAATGAAACAAATAATTTTAATTATCACTTTAGAGTCTACAAGTGTTGTTATTTGATTTTTTAATACTTTCATATTTACATCATTTTGATAAATACCATGTTGTCCAATAGGTTGTTTTGAACAATAGACTGTAAAATCCTCCAAACAATAAAAATAATATCTTCATTTGTTATTTCTAAATGAACTTTACCTATTTCATATTTCCATTCATTTTAATGAAATCTTTCCCTTTGTCAATATTTTCTACTAACTCTTCATGATTATTTATTTCTTCTTTGAGTTCTTCTGATTTTATTTCTGTTTTTTCACTTTTAGATTTCTGAGTTAAATATTTATCACTCTTCTAAATGATTTTGTACATTAATTTACCATCACTCTCAATAGATTCAATTCCCA